AAAAAAACTCGCTTATTAAGGAAGAAAGGTGAGAAAAAAAACGAAGTTGAATGAATGTAGAAATTGTAGAACTTACGCGACCATAAGAACACCTTGGTAAAGCGATACAGAGGCGAAGTAAAATACGCATGAGAATATAGCTTGCATGGTAGATATAATGAGACCCCTAGAATATGACAAAATATCTCAAATCTATCACAGCTGAAATTTCAAGTTACCTGTGCATCACAAACTGAGATAGTGCGCATGACCGCTTGTAACAAAACCGTCCATGGACAAGAAGAAGTCGGCAAACATGCGAAAACTGCGTGATGGAAAAGTCCGCAGCAAGCGATGCTTGTTTTCCTAGAGAAAAAAATACGCATTACCTAAAAAAAAACAACATAACACTACATACCTTCATTGGCGTCGATTCCGATACCAGCATGGGCAGCTTGGATCATGCTCACGTCGTTTCCTCCGTCACCAATGGCAGCTACTCGAAGAGGTGCACGGTACTTACGTAACAATTGGACAATTTGCGCTTTTTGTTCAGGCGAACAGCGACAACATACAACAGCAGTGCATCCGCAAACCAATTCCGCAACCTATGCGAAAGAGAATTTAGACAATGAAAAGTGAGGAAAAAACCGCACCTCGGCTTCATAATACTGCAAACAAACGTTTAGAGCAGAGCCTTGCATCACAAGAGCCACATCACTTTTCCTAGAAAAGTGATATAATGAAAAGCGATCATAAGCTGACGAGTGATTTATTCTACCTTCTTAGCGCATTAAGCTCATTATGTGCTTCCGTCCTGTTTTGAACTGATCCGAAGACATGGACATTATCCGTTCTCGAAAACAGTCCACTCGATTTTGCAATGCATATGGCTGTCTCCAGTTTATCTCCAGTCAGCATCCAAATTTTTATTCCTGCGTTTCGAAGAAGCTCGAGTGATGTTGTCACTTGGTCCTGAACACGCTCACAATCATTGAAAATTCCATCAAAAATTAACAAATTTTTTGAAAATGTAGGCAGATAAACTCAGTATAATTTGAGGCAAAAAACTCTTCAAAATTGTACGACATTTTTTCGATAAGCACAGAAAAAAACAGCGATCAGGCAAAATATCAAAATCAAATATAGCAAAGAAGATCATGAATAATTAGCTGCAAGGACTCACCTGAAGCCTATCCTCCACACCAGTCAGACAAAGAAGTTGCAGATCTTTCTCAAGCATTCGATTCACACAATTCTGCATATTCTGGGATCTGTCAGTTATGGACATTTTCGCAGTGTGATAGGCACGATCAAAAGCTTCCAGCTCGGCAGCAGACAATGAGCGTTTAGCGACAACAAGAGTACGAAGGCCTGCAGAGGGACGGAGTTCGAACTCAAAGAGAAGATAAACTGAAAGAAAAACAATAAAATACCTTCGCGAGCCATGTTGCTGCACTCCTCCTCAAGCCAATCGTTGTACTGTACCATACCAGCCATGACTGTGTCAGCTCCTTTCATCAGCAAGTAAACCTCGTCTGTAGTTTCATCCTAGAAACATCATGATAAAAACGAAAAGCTAAAAAAGAACGTAAAAAGGCCTGAAAAACGTAAAGAAGCCTACCTTCACAACGATGCCCATCCTTTTGGTCTCACTGGTGAATGGAAACACATGAAGAATCTGCAAATGGGAAGCATAAACAGGAAAATGGAAGAAAACTAGAGAGTACCTGGAAGACCTTAGTCTGCCCAATACTAAGCTGAAGTTGTATAGAATGTAAATCACGTTGAGCCAATCGTACTCCAACACTTTCCGTCCATTTCACTAGTGCAACCTTAGAAACAATAAGTATCCAAAAAGGCATCTTCCATGTAGAAATTATGCCCACCTCATCAGGGCTCGCAGCTTGGTAGGATACAGAGCCATTTTCAACAATAGGAGTAACATTATGACAAAGTGCAATGGCTTCTACGGCAGACTGCAGCTTAGCGGAGAACGAATGCCTAGAATTTGCAAAAAATCAAATTCTTCAATGGAAAATAAATAACGCATCTACAATTCAAAAAAGAATAGCACTCTACAACTAGAAATATTATCACCTTCCTAGTCGACTTGTGTAAGCGCTAGCAACATGATGTGCTACTTCTTCAAACGCATCAGAACTAAACGCAACCGTGCCCAAGTGTATCTGAACGAACACTTCAATCACAAAATTACTTCGGAATTTTACTGAACCCACCTTCTTGAAGTGCATCTCGTTCTTCGTCAAAGTTCCAGTCTTATCGGATAACAGAAAAGAGATTCTACCAAGTTCTTCCGGTATAGTTGAGGAACGCACTACAGTTTCGGGTATTTGTTTATCACGTCCAATTTGCCATGCATAGAACAGCTAAATATAAACTATGTGACCGCCAAAATCACTAATTGTTCGAAGAATAACGAGTAAAAACAGAAGGAACTTCAAATTTACACAATAAGAAATGCAAAAAAGCATAAAAAACCAGATTTCATTACCTTAGCCATATCAAGGTTGACTCGTAGCGAAATCGGAATGATATATGAAAACAGCAACACGAATCGCATCAAGTATCGATACCAATTCGCATCAAGTCCTTTCATGACGACCATTACGGATGCGAGGACCATCACGAACACAAACAATAACTTCGTCAAGTTGTTGACCTAAATCGACCTCTTAAGAGAAAAATAGGGAGAAAAAATAGAAACAAATTCGATAATTACAATATAAATAGTAATAGACTAGTTATAAATGACGTACCTCAAGGTCAAGCAAGCCAACTTTGCTTTCTGGTAGGGTTGTGTTCATTACTGATCGAGTTTCCCTTCCTGTGTAGACGACGATTCCTACCGCTGTGCCACTAGCAAGCACAGTATTCGCCCATAGGACATTTTCCACATTTAGGGATCCATCCTGCACTTGATCTTCAGTGGTCACCTAGACAAAAAGCTGAAGATTCAAGCTTTACCTACAGAAAAAAATCGCGAAAAGGAATGCAACACTTTCCACTTTACAACCAACATATCAGCCTAACAAAACTGGTTCTTTGCAAAAATTGTGCAAAAATTGTAAAATGAGCAAAGAACATAATGTTGAAAAATCAAAGGAAAGGATCATTGCCGGACAATAATCATAAATTTTGACATCTTCGATGGGTGAACACGAAAACTTGCAGCCACGAGAATGTTGAAAAGAAAAAACAACCTTGATTGTGCCGACAAATGCATGAATGTCTTTCTGCGGTTTCTCTGCGTAAATTTCGCAATTGATCTCCATTATATCCTGTAAAAAATTACATAAATAGTATTTTCAACATCAACTAGGAATATGGCAAAGAAGGAGCAAATTTTCATCTTTCAAAAAGGAGAAACTAAGCGAAAAGCAAACGAAAAAAGAAAAATAAAACCCTTACAGCTTCGTTGTTCGTGTGTTGTGTGAACGGAACAGCAATACGTAATTTCCAGTCAGTTTCTCCATCCAGCTGGTCGGTTCGTATAAAGCATCCACCAGACTTCTCCGTTGTTCGTAGCAACACAACATCAGCAGGAACTCGTCGATCCTTCTCTATTATAATCACATCGCCCACTTCAATATCACTAAAAACAAAAAACCTTTATTCAAGAGAAATAGCGTTGATAGTGAAATCGTCGGAGACAAGTATTTATTCAGCTTTATGCGAACTCTTTAATGAACAAAGTCAGGATGAAAATGAAAGCCTTAGATATACTCCAGAAAGCATGTCTTTTTACGATACTTGCAGTAATTACCATTAATACAGTCACGACTTTATTGATGGTAACTACTGCAAGTAGCGTAACCAAAGACGGGAAATGGGAAAAATTCGGAAATAATACCTAATCTCTTCGACAAGCCAAAACTGCCCACCTGCTATTGACTTCTACCCTTGTCCCATCTCGAGTTAATCGTTCATACTTCTCTCCATTCAACTCCTTGTCTCGTAAAAAGCGTACAAAATCATCGAGAGCTTCGCGAATCAATGTTATCGTAAGTACAAATCCCTAAATAAACAATAAGCTTAGATTCCCAAACTTTTATGCTTATTTAACTCACCAGTGGACCCCAGTAGGTGATAGGTGCACCAATTTGAATGGCTGGTATAAACTGACTGCATGCCATAAGCAAGAAATAAAGATTAAGGAAAAATTTGAATTGTTGGAAAAGCACCTACAAAAAAAA